TTTATATTAGATCGAGTGATTCTTAAGGAATGTTTATCACTACATAGTATAAAACAAAGTCGCTATCCGCCGTCTGTATGTCCCTATGTATGCTTAGATCTTTAAAACTACGCAACGGATTTTGATTCGTTTTTTATATTAGATCGAGTGATTCTTAAGGAATGTTTATCACTACATAGTATAAAACAAAGTCGCTATCCGCCGTCTGTCTGTCCCTATGTATGTTTAGATCTTTAAAACCACGCAACGGATTTTGATGCTGTTTTTTTAATAGATAGAGTGATTCTTAAGGAAATTTTATCACTACATAGTATAAAACAAAGTCTATCCGCCGTCTGTCTGTCCCTATGTATGCTTAGATCTTTAAAACTACGCAACGAATTTTGATGCTGTTTTTTAATAGATATATTGCTTCTTAAGGAAGGTTTATATGTATAATACTGCACCCATGCGAAGCCGGGGCGAGTCGCTAGTTTACAAATAAAACTTTAGGGTTGCCAAGTTATGAATTTTTAATATCTGTTTTAAATATTTCATTTCATTGAGATATTAAAATATTGCAGTCGGGTTTAAGTTCTAAGTTCGATTATTATAATGCTGTTAAAAGCGTTCACGGTATACTTATGTAGTGATTGTCAAGTCACCCAACCAAAGATTACAAATAGACCACAAATTCCGAGACACTGTACTTCATACATCCACACCCATACATACAAGTCATACACTCAGCCAAGTACTACGCATTTCAAATAAGTACAAAATTATAAAAAAAAAAACAAAACGATGATTATCATGACAGTGCATCAGCAAAATAATTACGAATACTTTCTAACTAACATTATTAATCTAATTAAAAAAATATGGTTTATAACTTTATACACAATACTGACTATACAGATTTGGTGGAGACTTCAAAAAGGTTAAAAAATAATAAAAAGGTTATATTTTTTAGTAAAGATATCGCCTTTTAAATCTTTCAAATCTAATTATATAGGCATATACTTTTTTTTGAGGTGGGAAAATCATTAAATGACTTCTCACGAGAGTGTCTGTGTATTCTTACTGACTAAAAACCACCCCGTTCTTACTCCTACACTTCGAGCCGGTAACGGGTAACCCGCGTTTCCCGCAGCTCCGTAATATGCATATACTGCAGGCGAAAACATTAATTTATCAAAGACATTGTGGAATTACTGAACACTAACTTTAGATAACACCTCATTAGTATGTGTTTCAAACAAAAGGTTAACAGATTAATGTCGGAATACTCAAACGCTACTCAATTTTAAGTCGCGCTTAAGTATAGTTCTGTCTCCACAAATTGTTTGTAAAATGACAGAGATGGCACGATATTTAAGCACGACTTAAAATTTAGTAACGTTTCAGTATTCCGGCATAAGACCTCTAAGGGCTCAGACAAAACGACAAACTTTAATTAACCCGTCGTGTGTCTAAACGTAGATCCACGCGAGACACAATGTATTTTCTATTGTGTCCCATATCAGTGCATTCAAGCGGTTAAATCTCGGTAAAGAAAAAGACGTCAAGGTCAAGGCCCGAGTGAATAGGTTGCTTATGGGACGACGTGCTCCAACGTAGACCGCATCATCGCTTACCATCAGGTGAGATAGTGGTCAAACGCCGCCCCATCAATTATAAAAAAAAAAAGTGTCTCAAGGTTCGACTTTTTATATAAACTCCATACAAATAATGTCAAAATTCAATTTATATCCACAGATTTTAAGTTCGCTAGACATTCATTTGCGCTAAATTGCGCCTTGTGCGCAAAACAGCGCTATTGGTTAGCGCAACGATTGCGCAAACAAACCGAGGTAGGCTTTCGTCGATTCTTGTGTGGAACAATAAAAATACTTATTTTGTGGCATTCAGATGCCATAAATATGTACAAAAGGCCTTGTAAAAACTATTGTACCACGCCATGGATGGCTTGACAGTCTTTTCATATAAATACAGACATAAAAACAAAATCTAAGATATCTAAACTATACCTCATTTGATAAAGGCTGGGAAATACATCACGGATACAGCTTAATGCTAACTTAAGTCAAAAAATACCTATGCTTTAGGGAAATGGGGTCAAAAACTACATTATACAAACAATAAAACAACTGAAAAATACCACAACACATACATACGAAGCGATCATGTGCTAGCAAATAAACTATCTACATACAATTGTATACAAACAGACAAATTGTGCTGACCTACTGATAGCCCGCCCTCGAAGTTTGCTATAAAAGAAATATTTATATCTTCATATATTATTATATCTTATAGCTTTTAGTATAGCTTAGACGTAAAGCTATTTTATTTAAGTTTTATATATCGGACGGAATTTCGTTTTGAGTTTTTTGCTAACAATGATTTTGAAGTAATAAGATTTTAAGTGTTTAGTCTAAAGTTCGATTCTTTGTACAGACATTATTCTTATATGTAGATAAAGTCCGAATTAAGTCTAGTTTATTGAAAAATAAACCAACCAAAAATAGATTGAATATCCTTACTAATCCTTACTAATATTATAAATCGGAAAGTGAGTTTGTTTGTTTGTTCCACTTTCACGCCGTAACTAATAAACCGATTGCTTTGAATTTTTGCAGACGTAACGTTAAAAGTCCAGATTAAATAATAGGGTACTTTTTAAACCGGAAAAAATTGATATTCCCGAGGGAAAACAAAAGTATTGTTATAGATGGCGCTGTATATATCGTTATATGTCACATAGGCTACTTTTTATCCTTTTGTGACGCGAGCGAAGCCGCGGGTAAAAGCTAGTAACATATATTTGATAGTTAATAAACTTTTTAAACGCTCGGTTAGCGCAGTGTTTCAGTGCCAAGTTATTGCGCAACATGTCGCAAGTTTGATTCTCGCACAGAACAATTCTTTACGAACCATTACTCCAAGTCCATATACAGCATTACTTCCCCCAAAGGGATAAAATAAACATCATAACAATAGGAGAATTTCACTAGATAAAAATCCAGACTTCATGCGTATTACTTTCATTTCAAAGCCGAAACAACTCAATACCGACGATAGAACACTATCAAGGTTATTTCAAAACTGCATTGTTAACAAAAATCTCAATACATAGAAATAAATAACTATAACATAGGCATCGGTGCTCGTATGAGGAACTAATGATGATAATCTGATAACGTCGTACCAATGACATGCCAATTCAAACTAAACAGTTACACAAATAAGGTATATTATTGAATAGTTAGTTTGTTGGTGATATGCCATATTTAACATTGAACTTAATGGTCCTATTTTAAAGAAAAAATGTCGCATACAACAGTTTCTGACAATATATTTCACAATTTAAAAATTTTAAAAAAATCACACATCACATCGTCAGTGAGCCGACCGCGCACGCTGCTCATGAGGAAGCCCCTCTGTGATTCGAAACTAGTAGAGCTTTTCTCAGTATATTCACGTGAGTAACCCGCGATTTTACTTAATTTAGTATGTCTCACGATAGTTATTATAAAAACATCGTCAGTCTCCATTGCGTTTAGCAAAGGCCAGTGGTAAAAGGCAAGAGGCCTTGCTCAGCATTGGCTGGTGGTATTAAAGGAGGGCTGTCACGAAGAAGGTTTGAGCATTAATCACCACGCTAGCACATAGCGGGTTGGCGATTTGAAATTAGTAATATTTTAATATAACTTTCATATAACTAGAAATTAATTATATTATATCAATTTCAGTTGAAGTTATAACATTTAATTTTATTGTACACTCATTTTATATTTCTGACTCTATTAGACTGCCTCGTTGGCCGAGTGGTCGCTAGTGCGACTGCTGGGCAAGGGGTCTCGGGTTCGATTCCCGGGTCGGGCAAAGTATTACTGGGTTTTAAAAAAATCTCAGTAGTAGCACGGAGTCTGGAATTGTGCCCGGTACATGGCAATAGGCTCACCCCCTGTTACATGGGACTCATAATATAAATAGTGAAAAGTGGGTGTTACATTGTAGAGTGGCATAATGTACACCTCTGCCTACCCCTTCGGGGGTAAAAGGCGTGATTGTATGTTTTATTTTTCGTCAAGTATCAAATCTCTAAAGGTTTTGGAATATTTTATCAAAACTAAACAAATTTCAATATTAAATATGACATTATTTAAGCTTAATATTCAATAACATTGACCTTATATTTTACACAATTTTGATTAATTTAAATTTCCCTACTAACAACATCAAACGATAGGATTTAAATAAAAAAACGTAATTTTTAATTCTTATCGCAAAATCGCAATGACTAGCTTTATTGACACACATTTTGTTGAATACAACCTGAATTTAGCATCCTAGCCAAAAATCTAAGTCAGTCAGTCAATGTCTCAAAGTAATTGAGTAAAAAACAATAAGTCAAAAACAATATATCAAGGCCAATATGTCAAAATAAATGCGCCAAAATTAATCAGTCAAAGTCAATTATACTAAGACAATAAGTTAAAAACAATATATCAAGGCCAATATGTCAAAATAAATGCGCCAAAATTAATCAGTCAAAGTCAATTATACTAAGACAATAAGTTAAAAACAATATATGAAGAACAAAATGTCAAAATAAATGAGCCAAAATAAATTAGTCAAAGTCAATTACTAAAAAACAATATGTAAAGGTGAATATGTCAGTCCAAGTCAATTATACAAAGCCAATAAGTCAAAAAAAACTAGTCAAAATCAAAATATCAAATTCAATATCAAAATTAATGTATCAAAATTAATCAGTCCTAGTCAATTATACACAGTCAACAAGTCAAAATCAAAATATCAAGTTCAATATATCAAAATGAACGAGTCAAAAGTAATCAGTCAAAACTTAAAAATCAAAGTCAATAAGTCGAAAACAATCAGTCAAAACTCAATAAGTCAAAGTCATTACACGTTCCTTATTAGCCACAAGATTAAAAGACATACATAATCATCTTTACCTACTCAATTTTACATTAGAATATATTAAACTACACTTACTTGGCAGGCAGCTTATAAAGGTATCCTTTTCCTTCCGTAGAACATACTAGCACTCGATCTGGCGCCAGAAAGTCGCCCGACATCCAACGCTCACCAGGTGGCGCTTGGATCGAACATAGGACTGAGAAGTCACCTGTAAAGTGATGTCAATAGTTTAGTTTATTAATGGTGTAGATATTATTAACTTAAATTCGAGATTATAGTAAAGTTGCGTATGTCGTGGTGCCCCGGAGTTTTGAGACGCCCGTTTCTCATGCATCATGAGATTGCCAGTTCAAAACCTACCAACGGCAAGTACCAATGTGACTTTTTCCGAGTTAAATTTACTTTCTAAGATTATTTAGACAAACGGTGAAGGAAAACATAGTGAGGAAACCCGGGCTTATAATATCCAATTATAAGTTTGAAATCACCAACCCGCTTTGAGCAAGCGTGGTGACTAGTGCTCAAACCTTCTCCGTGTGAGAAGGGGCTTTGCTCAGCAGTGGGCATTTATAGGCTGCTGAAAAAATTTATTTTTATTAAACCTTGATTTTATTATTTTTAACACCCTTTTTTTATAACGACCTCTTACTGTGTAATAAAAATCTAAGAGTCTGAATTACACACACTTCTAATTGTTGTGTCATTGTAAAACTTGGTTATCATTTATAGGTTAGATGACAATACAATACTATGGTACCATCGAGCTAGACTGGTGATGGAATTAGAGCGTAGCTGATAGAATCTTGGACTGCATACCAGTAAATATATTGAGTTTGAATTCATTCGATATTAACTAAAATCGCGGGTTACTCACGTGAATATTATATTGCGCGGGTTACTCGGCCTCATCGTTCGCTTGATAAAATTGACGTGTAAAAGTGCTGCCTTGTAGCCTATTTGCAGAAATAAATTCACTTCACTTGTATCACAATATACTGAGAAAAGCTCTAATAGTTTCACGCGAGTTAATTTAGTATGTCTCACGATAGTTATTAGGTATAAAAACTCATTCGATATGTCAATTTTACTATTGACTTTTTTTTTAAGGGGGGAAAATCATCGAATGACTGCTCCCGCCTGGGTGAGGCGGAAGGGAGTGTCAGACTCTTACTGACTAAAAACCACCCCGTTCCTTCTCCTGCACGTCGAGCCGGAGCCCCGGTTACCCGTTAGGTTCTCCGCGACAATTTTACTATTGATAAGGATAAACTATAAAAAATGTGTTTTAATTTTGTAGACTATCACCTGAATACTAAAAGGCTACTAAATTTTAAGTTATACTTAAATATCGTGCCGTCTCTGTCATTTTACAAAGGATTTTATTTTATTTAATTTTTCATTCGCGCTAAAATTCAAAATTCGAACGAACACGGCACGCTCGAGCGGGCTCCGCGCTCGCGCCAACAGTCGCCGCCGAAACGTTGAGTGAGTGAGCGTGTTCGAAGACGTTCCGCGTACCCGCCAATTTTATTTATTTATTTATTTATACTTTATTGCACACACAGAAAAAAAAATTGTAAACATTGCAACAGTAATTTGAGTACAATGGGCGGTCTTATCACACGCGGCGATTTCTTCCAGACAACCTTTGGATGGAATTTTAGAAAAGAATCTGGGAATGGGTGGTAGATGCACAATAAAAATAAAACCAAAATAGAAGGAAAACAATAAAAAAAACAAATGAAACAATCAATTAAACTTACAGACTACATATAATAGATAAAAGAAATTTTCTCGGTTTTTAAATTCGTTTTTTTTTATAAGCCGGTAAACGAGCACACGGATCACCTGATGGTAAGCAATCGGCGTCGCCCATGTACACACGCAACACCAGAGGCGTTACAAGTGCGTTACCGGCCTTCTTGATTAGGAAATTGAGGATTGTTGGGGATTAGGGGATTGGGGAAAGGGGGGAGGGGGGGGGGGGGGAATCGGGTTATTTTGACATCCAGCCTTAATCTGTTACAGTATTTTATTAAGACTTTAGAGAATTGAAGCTTACTCACCAGCATCATAAATCTGGCAATACTTCGCGCATACAATGAGCACCGTCCGTTGGTTGTACGCACAGCAGTTTAATGAGAGTGCGTTCAGACAACGGATCTGTTTCGATTCGTTTTCGTAGATAGGCTCCGATTGTTTATTCTCATGCCCCAAAAGGGACCATACCTGTTGACAAAAATATTTTAACATAGCTTTATCAGGTCGACCTTTAACAAATAATATAATAAAATCTAAGACATAACATAACATAACATCACGCCTTTTATCCTCGAAGAGGTAGGCAGAGGTGCACATTATGCCACTGTACAATGTAACACCCACTTTTCACTATTTATGTTATGTGTCCCATGTAATAGGGGGTGAGCCTATTGCCATATACCGGGCACAATTCCAGACTCCGTGCTACTACGAGCTTTTTTTTTAGACCCAATAATACTTTGCCCGACCTGGGAATCGAACCCGGGACCCCTTGCCCGGCAGTCGCACTTGCGACCACTCGGCCAACGAGGCAGTCTAATTATGACGTTAATGTTATTTTTTACTTACCTTAACTGTACCGGTTATAGATATAGCTAATACTACATCGTCTTTTCTTGAGGATGGACGGAGTACCTGTAATGCAAGAAATTAATATTACATAACATAACATCACGCCTTTGATCCCCGAAGGGATAGGCAGAGGTGCACATTAAGCCACCCACTTTTCACTATTTGTATTTGTATGATGAGTCTATTGCCATATACCGGGCGCAATTTCAAACTCCGTGCTACTACTGAGATTTATGTATATATACTCACATGTAAAGCTGATATCCAGTCAGGATTCATCTTGGAACTGAGAGAGAACAATATCTCTAGAGAAAAGGGATCCATGATCAGGATCTCCGCATAGTATCCGTTGCAGAAGAGGCGTAGATCCTCACTGTTGCACATGTGGTAGGCCTGAAGAGAATACATGTTGTTTAGAACATAAATCCTTACTAATATTATAAATCGGAAAGTGAGTTTGTTTGTTTGTTTGTTCCGACTTCACGCCGTAACTACTTAACCGATTGCATTGAATTTTTGCAGACGTAAAGTTAGTAGTCTGGATTAAATAATAGGGTACTTTTTATCCCGAAAAAATTTGATATTCCCGAGGAAAAACAAAAGTATTGGTATAGATGGCGCTGTATGTATTGGTATATGTCACATAGGCTACTTTTTACCCTTTTGTGACGCGAGCGAAGCCGCGGGTAAAAGTTAGTGTTCTAATATTATGGCTTTTATACACCGCGGGGATATTTAGAGAGTACATGTTAAAATGGAACACGCAATATTATTTCACGACGGTGGCAAGAATAGCACACGGCCCCCCTGATGGTAAGTGGTTACCGTGAACTATGAACGCTTGCATCGGGCCGAAACACATAACCGCGTTGCGTCGCCGCAACGCTAAAATCGGCAGTTTGCGTTGCGGCGTTGCGGCGTCGTGAAAAAGAGCGTTTTGTTGTCGTTCGGTAGGGTAACCAGTTCGTCGTGATTTTTTATTGTGGGTAGACGTGTCTCTGCCATGGACCATCGTGAATAACTTATTGCTTATTTGTTATTAAGAAGACATTACTCTGCCATGCTGGCACGAGCGCTGCGTTGCGGCGCCGCAACTCAAACTGCCGATTTTAGCGATGCGGCGACGCAACGCGGTTATGTGTTTCGGCCCAACTCATGGGGCATAACATGCGCCTTGCCGACCCTTAATAAACCTATTTACTCCTCCTCCTCCTACTCCTTTAATAATAATAATTTGTTTATTTATTTTTCTCCCATTTCTTACATAATATATAAAATCATAACAGGTAAAAAACATATTTTAGGTAAGTACGTAACAACAAACTTTTAACAAATGTTTATTTATTCAGCAATTAATGGGAGACAGGAGCCCGTACTAAGCAGAGCCTGTGTTACGGGTCTCCTCCTACTCCTTTGGTCATGAGGTCCATGAAATAAGGCCGAGTTTATTTCGAAACGGTGTCTAAGTCCTAAGTTCATCTTATCATCGTTTAAGTCAATATATTTGAAGGGTAAGAAACAAAATTAATGAAGTGGTGGTCAGGCATAAGGGCCAAAACACATCGGCGTTGCGGCGCCGCGCCGCTAGAATCGACAGTAGCGTCACCGCCGATTTAAACTGTCAAACACCAAGCGGTCACCGGTGACCGCGACCTATTGTTCTTTAATTGTGTCTATAAAACCGGTACTCGACGAGTTAAGCGGCGCGGCGCCGCAACGCAGCGCTCTTTCCAGCATAGCAGAGTAATGTCTTCTTAATCCTTACTAATATTATAAATCGGAAAGTGAGTTTGTTTGTTTGTTCCACTTTCACGACGTAACTACTAAACCGATTGCTTTGAATTTTTGCAGACGTAAAGTTAGAAGTCCGGATTAAATGATAGGGTACCTTTTTACCCAGAAAAAAATTTATATTCCCGAGGAAAATCAAAAGTATTGGTATAGATGGCGCTGTATGTATTGGTATATGTCACATAGGCTACTTTTTACCCTTTTGTGACGCGAGCGAAGCCGCGGGTAAAAGCTAGTGTTCTAATATTATGGCTTTTATACACCGCGGGGATATTTAGAGAGTACATGTTAAATTTACCACGACGGTGGCAAGAAAAGCACACGGCCCACTTGATGGTAAGTGGTTACCATCAAGTGTATTCCAATTCCATATGTGTTTCGGACCTAAATGTCCGCAACTGTACAATCAGAACCACAGTACAACAGCATATCAATCTACTGCAATCTGAACATCTTTTTAGGAATTATTTTAAACTAAAACTGTGACTATTTGAACTGAATATAAAATAGATTCGTACCTGTATATTAGTATGTATCTGCGACAGTTTGACACTCTCCCTACACTTGCCGTCCACCAGGTCCCAGGTACACATCTCACCGGCTTCCGACGATGACACTATAAAGTTGTTGTCCTGAAAATAAAACAAAATAACATGATATAACATTAATCAAAACCTTCACAAAATAGTAGAGAAAATAGTTAATTTACTGTGGGAAAGCCATGCTTCGGCACAAATGAGCCGGCTCGACCGGAGTTATACCACGGCCTCACAGAAAACCGACGTGAAGCAACGCTTGCGTTGTGTTTCGTCGTGTGAGTGAGGTTACCGGAGGCCCAATTACCCTCCCCTTTCCCAATCTCTCCAATCCCTGAATCGCCTTTTGGGGATTAGGAAGTTGAGGATCGTTGGGATCCTCAACTTCCTAATCCCCAAAAGGCTGGTAACGCACTTGTAACGCCTCTGGTGTTCCAGGTGTCCATGGGCGACGTCGATTGCTTACTATCAGGTGATCCGTCTGCTCGTTTACCGGATTATACAATAAAAAAATTTATTCTTAAAAAATGGTACAAAAATGTAATTTCTGATTCAAATCAAATCTAAGGCAAATGTCGATTTCTGTTTTCCTATGGAATCGGAGGCAAACGAGCGATCAGCGCCGCCCATAGACACCCGCAACACCAGAGGAGTCACAGGTGCGTTGCCGGCCTTTTAAAAAGGAATACGCTCTTTTCTTGAAGGTTTGAAGGTCGTATCGGTTCGGAAATACCGCCGACAACTGATCATTCTATAGTTTTGCTGTTCGAGGCAGAAAACTACGTGAAAAGCGCACAGTTGTGGCCTGCCAACCATCTATATGATGCATATGCTTTCGTGAGGGTCGATGGCGAAAAGGTGCGGCAGGTATCAGGTCAAATAATTCCTCAAAGCACTCCCCGTGGTATAAGCGATAAATATATTTCGGCTTTCGCCTATTACGTTCTTATACTATTATATAAGTTTGTTTTTTTGTTTGTTTGTTTGAACGCGCTAATCTCCGTAACTACAAGTGTGATTTGTATAATTATTTTTGTGTCGTATAGCGCATTTATCGAGGATGGCTATACGCAATAAAACATCACGCTACGACCAATAGGAGCTGAGCAGAGCGTGTGAAACCTCGCGGCAGTAGCTAGTGAGACAATAAAAGTTAATTAGGGAGTCGAACCCAAAACGTAGTCTGTTAAAGAATCAGTTCTAACTGTCACACGCTGTACAAAACCATAATCACTTAAATACCATTTACTTTAACGGAAAATCATAAAAGAGCTGCGTTATTTAACAAAATAGTCATCTATTCTTCTTAATAATCTTAAGATCGTCAATGCTCAGTTTTATTTTTTTCACAGGAAATAATATTAAATATATGACAATTCTTCCATACTAAAACCTGTCAAATGTCAATTTTATTCTACAGTTAAGAATTAACTGATATTTCTATAATAACTATCGTGAGACATACTAAATTAACTAAAAATCGCGGTTTACTCACGTGAACATACTGAGAAAAGCTCTACTAGTTTCGAACCACAGAGGGGTTCTTACTCATGAGCAGTGTGCGCGGTCGCGGCAATGTCGCGCAACTAATATAGCTTTTCTCAGCATGTTCATCGGCTTTAAGTCTAAACCCAAGTTATTTCTTCTAACCAATACCCCTACCATATTTTTTCCTGTAATTGATTAGATATAGAAGATTTTAAGAGCAAACGAGCAAGACGACTCACCTGATGGTAAGCAATTACCATCACTCATGGGACACCATAATACATTCCTCTTTTCTATAAAACCGACTTTCATAACATAACATAACATAACATCACGCCTTTTATCCCCGAAGGGGTAGGCAGAGGTGTACACTATGCCACTGTACACCCATGTAACACCCACTTTTCACAATTTATGTTATGAGTCCCATGTAATAGGGGGTGACCCTATTGTCATATACCGAGCACAATTCCAGACTCTTTGCTACTACTGTGGATTTTTTAAAAACACAGTAATACTTTGCCTAACCCGGGAATCTAACCCGAGATCCCTTGCCCGGCAGTCGCACTTGCGACCACTCGGCCAATGAGACAGTCTTTCATAATATTTAAGACATACAAAAACATAATACTTTCATATTTACCTGAATAATAGAAGCTCTTGATAAACAAGTGACCGGTGCAGTATGTCCGACTAACAAACATCGAGGGGTCATCTTTAAACTGTCAGGGTCCACCTGCCAGATACATATCTGACCATCATAGCACCCAGTGACCAGTGTTTTCTGGTCTCTGGATAGATACACTGATGAGACACAGTGGGTTGGGGCGTGCTTGCCCCATAACACCACAGGAACTATTAGATTTGTGCCCGGCATGACTGGAATAGAAAGAAAAATTATTATTTCCATATATTTATTTAAACTTTCTCTAAAATTACATTTTTAAATACTACAGTATAAAAATAATATTTATAAATATAATAATAGGAGCCGACCAGTAGTGGGAGCATGCTCCAAGCTACCGGTGGTTAGGGCTCCAGAGACAGAAACCTCCTCACAATGCGCGCCGTTTCAAGGAGAACTGCCTTCTGTATCAGGCCCTTGACCCAACTGCCTAACGCTAGCCTCCTAAGGTGGTTGTCGAGGCTATTAGGGATTAACCCATTGGCCGACACGACTATCCGCACAATGATAGCCGAATCTACATTCCACATGTCGACAACCTCGTGAGCCAAATCAAGATATTTGATTTGTTTAAAAAATTATTATTATTATTGTTTTTGTACAGAATTTTTAACCTTATCTCTTTGTGTTAAGATTGAAAATGTTGTGTGGGTAATGCATGGGTTTAAATTACACTTTTTATTAATTATCAACCTTATTCTCTTTAGTCTAACTTGGTAATCGATTAAAGAAATTATAGTGAAGGAATTTGATAAACTGGTTGTTTCTGATGTGAATTTCAACCTTATTACTTATATGATAGAGTTGAAATTGTGTTAAATAATTTTAAGAGTGAAGGTTCTGTGATGAGCTAATATTAAAGGAGACAAAGTAGTAGAGTAGCATCTATAGGTACTATATAAAGTATCAAATATTTTATTTGTCTTAAGCCAAGGATACATTAGGGGACAAAATGTTGACCGACACGTGTCGCAGGACACTTGTCCCCTAGTGTATCCTTGGTATAAGACAAATAAAATATTTGATACTTTATATACCTATGTACCTATAGATGCTACTTTACTACTCTGTCTTCTCTAATATCTCATCTCTGTAATATCTCATCTCTAATATCAATCTCATCACAAAACCTCTACTCTCAAAATTTTTGAACACTATTTCAAGTCTATCGTATAAGTAATAAGGTTAAAATTCGCATTAGAAACAACCACTTTATCAAATTCCTATATTCCTATGCTTTATGCATAATTTGTATTATTATTTTCACGTAGTACTTCAGAGACAAGACTAGATTGTTACCACTGAGAATTACTTACAGAAATTAGAGAATATTTAATATGTTAAGTATGTGTCAATCAATTGTACTACAATACCAATTTATTAACATTAACATAATATCACGCCTTATATCCCCGAAGGGGTAGGTAGAGGCGCACATTATGCCACTTAACCCATTTATCCCAGCTGTCACCGGTGACCGCTCTCCACTAACTATATTATAGACCTTATTTCCAATGTTTAGAGACTGCTTTTGTATGAACAAATACAGGGGATGATATTTGAATAGGTTAATGCCATTGTTGTTATGAGTCCCATGTAATAGGGGGGTGAGCCTATTGATACCGGGCACAATTCCAGACTCGGTGCTACTACGGAGAATTTAAAAAAAACCCAGTAATAATACTTTATCCGACCCGGGAATGGGACCCAAGATGCTTTACCCAGCAGTTGCACTTGCAACCACTCGGCCAACGAGGCAGTCAGTTTATTGACATTATAAATATTTTCTTTATTCATTAAAGATAAGATAAAGTTGGCTATCATAGGTCAAGTAGCTCCAAGTGAATTTGTGTATGTATCTTCAGATAAATCTATGTTTTGGAAAGAATACCTAGCTGTTTCATTATTCGACAATAAGCTCACTTTATAACTATGTATTAGTAACTATATTAGAATCAAGAATGACAGGATAAATATTTTTTCTACACAGCAACCATATAACAGGCAAAATAATTGTCACACATTACATAATAACTTCACACTTCTATCTTCCAAAAAGGGATGGTTAGACTGCATTTGCAGTATTGAGGTCCTATAATGTTTTAGTAAAAGGTGGAAACATACATAACACAATTCTTTTTACATATTTTTCTATGATTAGGAAATACACAATTATGGTGCATGATGTCACGATGAAACTATTTATAACATTCTTATTGGTGCTTATTCTATCTAGAATTCCATTAAGGAAACAATTAGATTCTTAAAGACTTGATATCATAGTCAAAATTGGGTTATAGTGCTAATTGGTAACTAATAACTATTATAGTAATGTGATAACTCTAAGTGAGTTTGAAATATTTGGTAGTTTAGGACTTTTGTAGGCTAGGACTACAATATTCTTATAAGAAATTATGGGAAATTTAGTTGGGAGATAGTTAACATAGTTCTAACAGGCAGAATAGATGTAAATTAATATTTTTCGTACTTAATAACAAGTAACAAACATAGAATATAAGTAAATTATGTATAATACTACAATAGTCTTCTAGCAGACTCCACGTCAAGATAAAATTAACAACAATTATCTATTAAATAAGGATAAAAATAAACAATAAAAATTCCAATTCAAAATGACACCTAAATGAGAATATTAATGGTCAGAATCATGTGACAAAGCGTATACTACAAAAGAACGTTAGGTAATAGCATAAACAGCACATAAATGTACCGCGAAGATGTTTTGTTAGCATAATAACGTGATAAGACATGAAAATCGAGGATCACCTGCCTCTAACCCAAGGACAAACCAATTTATTACCTGCCTAGTAGTCGTGGGGATTGATAGAAAGGTTCCAACCGCTTCTGGACTACTATACGTCCATGGAGACCAGCGAAACTTCCACTGAAATGCACCTATGCAATTATAATTTATTGAAAACACGAATACTGCGACAAAAATCAATCGACCCTGCTGTCAGTTTTTTGACAGCTGATGATATTTGACGTTGACGTTAAATATTGCAATGTTGGCGAAACTGTGCGTTCTCCACGCTCTGTAACACGAAATGAATTACGAAATAAATTGTTTTAACTGACTTCCGAAAACTATCTCGTTTTTATTTGACTATAGACTATTATTAGTTTATGCTGGGATGCTAGGTGGCTGAGATTGCCAAGCCAGGCCAAGCCAGGCCAAGCTAAGGTTAACATTAACATCACTAACGAGAAAATCTGACGAAAGAGTTTAAATAATCAAAACTTTCTCATTTTAAAACAAGAACGACATCAGACGTAAATTAATGACGTATAGATTCATTATAGATGCAATGTTATGATTTTATATTTATTTCGATTACAATAATACTAATTACAAAAGATGGCTGAGAAATTGAAACAAAAGGAGCGAACAAAATCGCAAAATTTCAAAGAGGAGAAACTGACGGACTTGGCTACCAAAATTGACGAGACTGACGAAATGAAATTGAAAATGTTGGCGGCATTAGAAAAGCCGGAACCTGACGACCTTTTATATCCACCTGAATTAAATGCGCATTTGCTTGAACAGCTCAAAGTAAGTGAAAATTTTACTAACATTAAAACTTCGATTAATCTCCTTGTTACTTACAGTCTTACTATAGACGTGAATAGGGAAATCGAAAAACAATAGTGCGCTTTCTTGTTCCTTTCAAGATCCTGCAGACTTTAAATAAATCGGTCGACATGTCGTCAAGTACAAATGTAAGTAAAGTGATGAACACACAATTCATTTTCAGGTGATGACTGCGGACAACAATGAACTCCGCAAATGCGTATTCCTCAAAGATCAAAACATAGAAGAGTTAAAGAAGACTATAGCAGATCTTAACCAGAGAATCCGTGACATAATATCCGGTTCAGGACCAGCGATATCCTCAAAGTCTGCTGGTATTATCAGTGCAAAGATTACAGAACTTTGCAAACAAAATCGTCATTTGGTAGCTGAGATAGAAAGCTACAAAACTAAAAACGCTGCACTAGAAAGAAAAGTTATGCAGCTGGACATTCTTAATAAAGAACATGAGAAACTTGACCTCTGTTTATGTAAAGATGAACCCATAGATGTGAATCCTGATGAACTTAAAGAACTGAACAGCAAACTGTCTTCAGTCAACAAAAAACTTTATGAAAGTAAGAATAGGAATCTAGAACTCAAAAATGATATTCTAATGGCCACGAAAATACTACAGCAGGAGTTAGGGGACAAGTTTACGAGTATTAAGGAGTTGCAGAATGATGTGGCTGGTTGGAAAGGAAGGGCACAACAGATTGTTTTGTTACAAGCTAAAGTTAGTGAGCTTGAGGATAAATTGAGTGGAAAACAGAAAGCAGAAATGAACCCTGACGTTAAGAGGAAGGACCAGAGTCAGGTATACTAATTTAGTCAAATCTTGATTTACTTGTTCTTCTTTGTCCATTATTCGATCTACGAAACGAAATACGCTTAAATGCTCATCATTTTGTAAAAATATTGGGGTTGAGTCATCATCGCTTTATTGCTTTATAGGTAGGTGTAGGTAAGATACAAAGCAAACGCCCAAATGCCTAAAGGCTACTCAATTTTAAGTTGTACCTAAATACCGTGCCATCTCTGTCATTTTGTAAAGAATTTGTATGACAAGCCGCGACTTAAAATTGAATTGCGTTTGAATATTTGGATATAAGTAAAGTAATTTGTTCTTATAGATTATTCGCGAATTAGAACATAGAAAACGGAAAGAAATGGAACTTGCATTGAAAGATATAGATCTCCTTAGAGAAGAGAATCATGAATTGAAGAGAAAACTTGACGGTGCAAGGTGTCGCATTAGAAACCTTGAATGCGACGCAACAACCATCAGGCAAAAGATGCAGACGTTTTCGGAGAAAAGTAGCCATGATGACATGTTGATTAATGAGCAAAGAGTGAGTTAGAGGAAATATAAATCGTGTTTATGTGTTGGTATTGAATAAACACGTGCTGGTCACAAAGTTAATGATTTACTTATTCATTTTTCAGAATCAAATAAAGACCTCAGAGCTGTATTATCAAGAAATTCTTAAAGAAAACACATCAAAAATGAATAGGATGAACGCTGAAATCGGTGAATATCAAAAACTAATTAAAAACACCGATGCTAAAATAGATGCTCTGCGGAAACAAGCTTCAGAGAAGACTGCAAAAATTGAAGAATTGAGAGCTCAACTATTGCGGTACGAAGAATGCTCTTTACAAAGCATATTCTTCACTCCGATGAAAACCGCAACAGACAATGAGATAAAGAAGCTATCAGAACTTGTTGTAATACTAAACTCGAGAATAGACAACGAAAGACACAAATGGGAGGAACTAGAAGAGACTCATAGGAAAATGAAAGAAAAGAAGAGGCGCTTGGAAAGAAGACTTTATTCCTTAGAAGATGAGGTTAAACTGTTGAAAGAAACCAGGAAGTCAAAGTTTTCAAAGACTGTTATGAAAGAACATTCCGATGGTACCAATGGGTCCTCCACTACGATGCAACGCAGACAGTCTTCTGTTGGTTATGTGCCTGAGAAACCAAGTGAAACTCTAACTACTGATTCGCAGCCAGGGGAAGATAATCTTGACAAAGATGATCTAAAATACAAGCTGGAATTGACTGAAGAAAAGTTAAAAATATTAGAGGATAAACTAAAGATGATCGAAGAAGAAAAGCAATATGATTACAATCACTTAACCGAAATGATTCAAACATCAAAACAATTATTCAATGAAGCACTGGCAGTGCTTCAAAAGGAGAAGTGCTTGTGTTCGTAGTGCATTTTATATGTTATTTATTTTGTTTAATTACATAGGTAGTGGAAAATAAACTGTTTTATTTCATTTGGAAGTTAAACTCATTTAATTTACTTATAGCAACATTTTTATTTAATATTTTTAGCTGGTTTTATTGAACAAAAAACTACCATTGGAAGAATTCTTTTGTAACGCTGGCCACCCAAACCGCCGCCATTTGTCATTTTTTTGGCATGCGCGTACGGGGATGCTACGAAAATCGTGCTCTTGAGTGTTTTCTTACAATACCGAGTTTTAAACTTTGTTTGTGAATCGTGAAAAACCGTGTTGCTCTGTGAAATACCAGTGCTATAATATATTAAGTGTGTTTTTGTGTTAAAAACATTCATCATGAATAAAACTTGCGCAAGGTGTGAGAAAACAGTTTATCCGACTGAGGAATTGAAATGTTTGGACAAGGTAATTTTCACTTGTATTCCTTTTAAAACCTATATCAAACCGGTTAACTTTTTTATGGCATATTTTTACGAGAATAGCGATAGAAATAGTGATTTGAAAGTTCTTGTTACATTGTAACTTTCGGTGTTCTAAATACAACCGTCTACAAACTTTTTTCGTAACTATTGTCGTGTGCCGGGCACATCAATTCACACAGCCGGACGCGTGAGTCATTAAATTATATAAATTGCTGCTGATATCATTGTGAGCTCTTTATAATACCGCATCTGTACTTGCATCGACCTTTTTACCTAATTAGAGTCGTCTTAGGCAATACGCGACCTTGTGTCACATTATGCATCGATTGTATTCAAATGATAACTTGGCAGAATGGACTTGATACCTTTGCTAATTACTTGAATGAGATGAGATAAAATTGGCGGCGGAATGCCCGAGAATTGTTTACACTAAAATTAATTTTATCGCGCTATGACGGGTTAAATATTTTATCATTGAGATAAGAAGTTGTGTACGAAATTATATTAAAAAAGGTTTTAAGGTCGAAAAAAGTATTTTTCTAGAATATTTTAACATTTTAATCAAGTTGGTCTGGCCACAAATTCTTTTGTGTAACTCTCTTGAAAGTTTCATAAGTATGTTGTTTTCAAGTTTTGCTCATCAAACAGCAAACAATATCCTGTTTTTGTGCTCAAACATTCTCTGGAAATACATAACAACATGTTTGGAACTCCTTTGTAGGCTTGAAGAGTTTTAAACATAGATATAACCTTTCTGTACAAAGAAAAAAGTTTTAGAAAGTTACAAAACTTTTCTATGAAGTTATTAAAAGTTTCTATCTTTATTAATATTAATATTAGCACTCCTAAATAAAACATGTTTAATATAGAACACATAAATTTCAAACCGTTACACAAATAAATATTTTTTATAAGGAATGTGCATTTTTAAGGCTGTGGGGGCAATATTTCCAGTTCCTCTAACTAGAATGCTTGTTTTCTAGGCTAAAAGTCTGCTAATTTTAATGTATAATTTGCTATTAGGTATAAATTAAACAAGGTACATAACTTTAATCCAGTTTTTAAAATTAATATTCCTGCTTTATCTATCAAAGCTATTTCTATAAAAACTTGATCCATCTATTAAGTACTCATTAAATAATAAACTCTACTAACATTATAAGTTAGAAAAGATTTGATTGTTTATTTGCATTTAGTGGAATTTCCACCTCTGTAACTACTGGACTGATTTGAAAATTTTACACCATGCGATAGCTTCTGTCCATAGATAGATCTTTCAGGAAGTCACATAGGCTCAGTAATCCAACCTATTTATAAGATTTATAAAAATAAATCACTAATTTGTAGCTGTAGTTGTCAAAAACTATTTTTAGAGAGGATAATGTTATATTCGAACAAAATCACACTATATAAGGTATTTTACACAAGGTAATACTAATACCACACATTACTAAATCAAACTACACAAATTCTTGGTAGCTATAACAAAAATAACTATTCTGTGACAAATTGGTTTTCCATGGCAGTCATACCTAGTATAGGTACATTAATTAATGTTCAATACCGTGTTATTTGTAATTAAATAAAATTACTCATAAGGCGAAGTCATACTATGGATTATAAGTGAAATATGAGGTAAATGGTGTTTCAGTAGTAAAGCTCCATTGGTGCATTAATATTAATAATATTAATTTTCATTCCCTAAAACCAAGGCCGTGGCTCGAAGCAGGAGTAGGAATGGAATGGTTTTAGTCAGTAAAAGTCTGTCACTCTCTCGTCTGGCTGAAAAAGACATTTGATTATTCATGTGCAAAGAATGAAAAAGACGTTAAGAATTAGGCAATGTTGAGTCCCACATGAGCTTATTGCCATACGCCACTCATTCTAGATTCTGTATATTTACAAAGAAACATTATGAAATGCTTCCGTAATATTTATCCCGACCTGGTAACGACCTGAAGAACTTGTTTTACAGTCTTTCTCTGGGCTTACTCTAATTTCTCATAATTAGTTAGTCTAAAATGTAGTCCAATGTATAGAATAAGCGAGTTCAAGCTATTCATAATAAAAATAGTTCACTTTCCAATACTTATGCCTGAATACAGAAAGTCTACAAGTCACACTTATGCCTTGTTTGCACTATGCTGGTATTTTAGTCAAGTAGCGAGTATTTTGTAACTCTCTCTCGCTTCAATTTTGGGACAGAAGCAAGAAGGATATATACTAAACACTTGCTGCTCGATTAAAATACTAGTATAGTGCGAACGAAGCATTTATTGTACTTCTGCCACGAGAAATTCTTTGTAAAATGAGAGGCATGATATATAACTTAAAATTAGCCTTTCAGTATTTGGGCGTTAGGTAAGTATAAAAATAATACGAAAATTAATCATACACATTAATAAATCATACATATTTTTCCTATACTCAATCATACATACTTATTTTATTATAACCAATTAATTTATAATTTTACTAGATACATTAATCATATTGGTTAGTTTTGTAATAAAAAGGAAGAAATCTAATGAATAGTCAAACAAATGAACAAATTATGTATTTTATTTACATTGTGTTGTTAATAAATTGCCTTTATACAAAACATTTATGTACCATAAAACATACACAACCATCTGAAAATGTAATATGTACATTTTACAATGGGTGGTCACATCGCAAAAAACGTAAAACAATAATTGTAATGAATTTAAACCAAAATATGGTTAAAAACAGCGAAATTTCGTCTAAAAATCGTTATAAACTGAAAATGATCAAAAACCTTGCCAAAAAACCAGCAAAAAGATATGATTCCGGCCAGGATCGAACTGGCGGCCTTCTGCGTGTAAAGCAGATGTGATAACCACTACACCACGGAACCAGTTGAGTAGTTGTTTCAAATTACTACCCACATTCTACATTCACTTTCATTCTACAATGCTATTACGTCATCGTAATAAAAATGGCTGTACCTATTTTATATTCGACATGCAACATGTACTAGCTACTCCCGTGTTTTCACCCGTTGCTCGGCTCGTATTAATCTTAGCGGGATGTTTTATACCCTACAACCTTCCTCGATAAATGGACGATCAGACACAAAAGATAATTATTCAATTTGAACCAGTAATTCCCGAGATTGGCGCGTTTAAACAAACAAACATTTCAAGATATTTAAGAAAGTATAGATGTATTTAATTAAATTTCGTTCATGTCTTAACTTATTATGATATCGAAACGATTCCACGATAAACGCGACGGTAGATTTTCGATAAAAATGTTATTTTGATATCTTCAAGGTTACGGTAATTTCTGGAAAATCGTGTGTTCCTAATTTTCATTGTATTGTGTCAAAATTTAACCTTAGCAAATACTGTTCATTTTATTTCGCTATCAAATCACGAAGTTTTGTCGATGAAAGTGAATTCAATTGCCCTCTATTTCGTTTAAAAAAAACTAATCATGCGACTAAATTACTGTAACACCCAATCATGTCAGTTACTATGTAAAAAAATATTTTTGATTTACGAAAACAGCTTGTATTGCTTATAAAATAAATGTGAAATTCGAATCATAGGATAGTGTTTAGTTAGACAGATTTTATAGAATGCGTTTTTTTCGCCCGATGTTTTTGGTAACTAGTCATATATTGAAGTAATGATACTGTTTATTTCTTACTTGAACTCAATTCCGACCCCGAGCCCAAGAGTCTTTGTTTAATAGTCGAAGCTACCAAATTTTAAAGTCACTGTAGCAACGACACGTCACGCCTTTTATACGCGGAGTGGTAGGCACATAGGTGCACATTATGGCACTTAATGCTACTGTACAATGTAACACCCAATTTTCACTATTTATGTTATGAGTCCCATGTAATAGGGGGTGAGCTAATTGCTATATAACGGGCACAATTCAACAAACTCGGTGCTACTACTGAGATTTTTTTAAACCCAGTAATACTTTGCCCGACCAGGAATCCAACCCGAGACCCCTTACCTACCTAGCAGTTTCACTTGGGACCACTCGGCCAACGAGGCAGTGTAGCAACGAAACATACTGAAAACAATAACCACGTTCAAAAAACTCGTTAGTTATCGTATCAATGCTTTTCAATACCTTATTGAAATAATAGACACCGAACATAATATGGTATCAGTTGAATAATTATAATAACGTATTACATAACCAGCAATTAAAATATTTATCGCAACAATGCGAACTAATAAAGCGTGAAAGTCTATACTGAATATAGATACGAGTCACCACGGAGTATCACAATCAAGAAGTTCTATCTTGTAGAGCAATTGAACTGTAATACCGTAATTAATTATTGGATTGTGATACTGTTAACATTAAGAAGCAGGGAGTACTGTGGCCTTTGATCAATAGTGGACATCTTCCGGCTAATAATTGCAATAATCATGGAAGTCGTACGAACTGTCATACTGCGAGCTATTAACTAACATAGTGTCTATCAACTACGTAAAATAAATATTAAAACGATGCTATACTTCATAAATCATTGGCCAAATGCTTATAGGCGTATACATATATATTAAAAAAAATATAAACCAATTTCCTAATGTTACAGATATAGCTCATCCTGTGCAACAAGTTATACCAGATGCTTTTTAAAACAATCAGAAACAGTTGCATTACTCCTAGACTCTATAATCCATGCGAGTGGTTAAGAATGGCGGTAATTAGACGCCATGTTTGTTACAATTTTGACAGTGACATAACTATTGGCGGGAAAGTTTACTTTCATAAAACTAAAAAGTGAGTCGAGGAAATAAACAAAATTAAACGAAATAAATTATTTTAGAAATCTCTTTTTCGCGGTGGTTTCACTTGATTGCGTGCGGTTCTAAGCCTTTTATGGTTTCAACTTACATTTTTAAACCTTCCTCAAAAACAGTTTCATCTGATGGTAAAAATAGACTTTTTAAGACTCATTTTTCAGTTGTTATATGTACATAAATTTCA